GTAGCTTGGGTGCTTGATTCCCAAATAGGAAAGTTGTATATATTTTTTGGTGTTGAGTCTCAGCCGTCGTCCCATGTATCTAGATCGTCGTCTTCGCCCACCCACTGGCTAAGCTCGTACAAAACGTCCATCTGCTCGTCGGTAAGCTTTGATTGGCCCATATCGTCGTTGTCGCCGCCACCAAAACCTGCCCGTCTCCATCGTCGTACTGAGTGTAGTGCTGCTAGTAGCTCAGGTGATATACAGCGTCGGCGAGGCTCTAGTAGATCTCCGAGCTCACTGAAGACGCGCTCACACTCACAGCTTGAAGCGGGTATAGAGAGTATAGTAAGCGCCATCTTACTAAGGTTGGGATATTGATCGCGCAGCCCGAACCAGTATTGTATAGGATCGGTGCCCTTGCCAACGATTGGCTCGCGCTTCCACTGCTCATACTCATCCTCCTCAGTATTGCCGCGTGTGGGATCAATAATGCCGTCAATCGCGTCGTCAATATTGCCCGGTTTCTTCGGTGCGCGTGTGTAGCAAGGCCTCGGTAACGGCAGCGACTTGTAATCCGCCCACAGTGCCTGGAAATTGAGATTATTAAGCGCCAGCCAGTTAGGCTTCTCAGCCCACGCTTGATCGCAGTAGTGTTTGTAGCGAGGATAGAGTATTGTAGCAGCGTAGTAAGCTGGCGAGTCGTTAAGTTTGGCGTAGTACTCGTTCGCTTTGAGTAGCGCTGCGCGTAGATTGATAGGAAGGTGATCTTCGGGTGCCTTGTCGTGAGCGTTATGGACTACGCAATCGTAGTAGAGGAGGCGAGCTTCTAATTAAGTGAGTAGAAACTCAAACGTTGGGATCACCTCAGCGATCGCGCTAAAGCTATACTCGCTACGTCCCTTAAAGCGCTTTGTACACTCTTTGAGTGGCCTAAGAACCTCTATATAGTCGGTAATAATAGCCTAATTAGCAGCTGTGAGGCCGTCTAATCTCATCTACTGTGGAGCAGCAGGCCGATTTTTGCCCCGTGAGTCGGCGTAGATATCCTCTTTTGCTGTATTTTGTATGTGGGTGTTCGCGTACGCGTTGATGGCCGGCGCGAGCTTTATAGCTCGCTCAAAACAGTCGAAGTATGAGTTCCAGCGTGTGACTACTGGCTTTATTGGCTATAGTATCGTGAGCTTGTCGTCTGCGTCGTGAGGTAGCTCACGGTAAGCTGTACGCTGCGCCTTCTTAAAAAGATTGTACTGCTGCGGTGTGTAGATATAGTTGATAATATCGAGAAGTACGCCTAAAGGCCCGTGCTTTCGCCACTCCTTTATAAACGCTGCCTCGTTAGTGAGCTCGTCAACTCCCTCGTTGTTGTATAAGTCTGCATCTCTGCCCCAGAGCAGTCTCTGCCCAATCAGATTAATCGTATGAGGGCCACAGCGGAGGCGTCGGTGTATAGGATTGAAGTTAAGCTCGTGGGCAATCGCAGCGACAGCGGTGTCGTTATTAGAGGCATTGTCGAGGACGAAGTAACCGAGTGTACGCTCGCTTATGCTAAACTGCTCTAAGATTGATAATACAACCTTAGCTAATCGATCGCCGGAGTAAGCGCCTGTGAGCTGAGGCAGCGCGATAGGCAGGTCTCGGAGCTTGCCATCTGAGTTGACGTAGTAGGCGACGATACCGAGAAACCCGCGCTTGCCGCCTTTCGTCGTCCATCTGTCAAAGCTTATATAGATCTTGCTAAGCGATTGTGACAGCTCGTAGACGACGCAGGGCCTGAGCCAGTCAAACAGTCGTATAACGTATTAGGAGACGCTCTTGTGGTTCTTCTAGAGCGCTGCTTCTGCAAGTGGGTTGGCGATAGCAATTAGGCGTCGAAAAGCTGGTGTTTCGAACTCAGAGATGGGGTGGTTGTTCGCGACGAGCCAGTCTACTGCGGCAAACCTAAAGCGCTGCTTGCTAAACCCATTAATCTAATTAGCTACTGCCTGTGAGATAGGGACTCTCGCAGTGGTGAGCGCGTTGTAAACACTAGCAACTAGAGTCTTGCCTAGTGCTACTAGCCTATGGCCTAGTTTCTGCTCGCTAAGGTGGCGCGCGGCTGACGAGACTGCTGCGCTTGTATTGTATAACCTAATACCAATATCCGTGAGCTTGTGCTTGAAACACCAGTGGCAGATAAAGAATACGCGGGTTGGATCTTTGAGAAGAGCGACGCGATAGCCGTGGCAATAGATCTAACTCCGCTTGTGTTAGTGCGTCGTGATAGGCTTCGTATACAGCTTAAGGCGACCCTAATCTATGCCATTATAATTG